AGCACCACTGATCAAAGAGCTACAACAAAACATTGTTACAATGATGATTATTTATAAAAAATTAAATAAGTGACAACAAACGAAATCAGATAATAGACTTAGACATTTACCATGCTATGAAAGTATTACATTACTTATTGCAGAATCAATAAATCATTTGCTGCTGAAAATACCTTAAAACAAAGTAAGAAAGAAACATCATCAACTGTAAGCAATGTTAACACACAGGCTATGTACAAGTCTATGCATAATGTAACTTACGTTTGTCACGAACATACATTACAAACTACTATAAAGATACATCTACTCACAAAAAGGAATAACCCTTCACCTTTTAAATCTCTTGCCAAATCTGACCTTATTCTTATCACATTAAAGTCCTTGTGTAAAATATGTTCCTGTTTAAATTGTGAATGTAAAATTCTACATTTACTACCAAATTCACAGTAGCATACATGCATTTATCAACAATTAATATACATGTATGACATGTATAGCTCCACAATGCATATTAAGCTATGATTGACTCATACATACACTGTACATTTAAATTAGACATATACCGTTCAGTTTGCTCACTCATGCCATCCTGAATTAAGTTTCTTTTGTGAGACATGCCTTGTGCAAATATACATTAATAGACCCAACGAAACAATTCCAATATGCGAACGATTAATTTTGTATTAATGAGAACATGCATGTACACAACAAAAGATGCATTGGCAAGCATTCATTTATACTGAGTAACGAAAGTACTTACTGTAGCCATAATTAATGATATAATCATTAAGCAAATATATAGTATGTAACCTAGAGTCATAATCTATAACAACTCTCCATCTTACTACATATTCCATTGCTAAGACTACAGTAATATAAAACCCATACCGATGTAACCTGGCACCTCCTTTCACGTGATACAACTACTAATGAAGGAGCTGCAAAAAAACATTAAGTTACATTTAATAAGTAGGTAACTTAATTTAGTAACAACAATGTAAATACAGAATTGCCTTTTAAATATATTGCCAATTCCAATATCAAGCAAAAGTATTGCTGAATCTGCAAATCATTTTCCAGCTGTAATTACCTGTAAAGCATAGCAATAGAAACATCAAAAGCAAGCAATGTAAACTCAAGGGATAATGATAACTAAAGCACAAACGGTAATGGTGAACAAACTTTATTACCAATCACATCAAACCTCAATATTTAATACCACATTGTAGTCATTGTGCCAAGCAAGTACCTGTAAAAAGTATGAATGTGAATACTAACTAATAATGATAACGGTAGCATCTACATTGTTTCTGATTGGATCATACATTTATGTGAATGCATCTACTTTAGACATAATATATGCTTACTAATGGTATCCTCAATTACGATACTTTTGACATTCTTAATATAAAATAACACTGTATATGAACAATGCCCAATGTCCTAATAATATTATTTTGTTAATAAAAACATGCACATTGTAGAACAATCATCAATAAAAGATGCGCAACGTCAGCCGTCAAGCATTAACTTTATAATGCACACAGCATGATGGCAACATTATGCGCAACATCAGCTGGCAAGCATTTACATATATGTAATGTGCACAGCATTTATGGCAGCATTAACATGCATGATGATCATTATCATATGTACAGAATCACTACATGTTAATTAGCAACATTTAATCTTACTCAAAAATTTTTGTTGTCAGGAGTTCAAATTTTTTCGTGTAAGCCCCAATCCATAAGCACCTGTTATTTGTAATAATCGTAATACAAGCCACAAACAAGATCATGATTTGAAAATGACAGCTTATGCCCTTCCTAATCCCCTGTCCTACATAAATGATAACCACACAAATTTGAATCAATGTTTAACTCTAATGAACAGTAAACCTCATTCACACCCTCTCCCTGTCCATTATAGCGACAAGTAATCAATATTTACTGTTATTTGTCATACATTGATTAGCCTCACTTACTGAATGCAGTTAGATCTCTTTACACTGAGCAATAATGGGTAAATATGCAGCAATGGTTTTCACACACACTCACACATCACTCACATTGCACATGCAGTGAAATTTAAGTAACATTAAACAAGCAATGTTTTTAAGGTGATGGACCTCCTATACACCATACCCACTTTCCATCAACAATCAATGCTTAAGAAATATGTGACCCGATATGAGAAAACCAGGCTATCTGCGGGAATTATCATTTTGAGCTATGGGCTCATAATCACGAAAAATCTTTACCTGGGCGAAATTCATTTTATCACATAAACATGTTATATAAACAAAATCCTTTCATTTGATACCAAAATCAGGGGTAGCGAAGCCTTCTTTGCCGAGTTATAAGCCCTTCGACATTTTACCTTGATTGTGCACGGAGAATGTTACACGGAGCGACCACGGAATAAAAACGGAGGGCTTTAATGCGTCGTTAGGTAACCATGGAGTCTCTATAGCAACTATTTAAAGTATAACAAAGACGAAGAAGACTACTTATAAATAGGTCCTCGAGACAGTGACTACGTTGCTTCAGTTCTTGGGGACTACTTTTGTGATGAAACTAGTGGTAAGCTTATTCATAACACTGTTTACATACTAACTGTGAATAGCGGTTAGCTATCACAACAATGACATTCCATCACCTGTATAAATGCACAATATTATTATATTAAACTTAGTTATACAGTGTATTTGTTAATTGATAGAGACAGACTATGAAGCAGTAGAAGATATGGAAGAAGAAGAGGTAGAGGAAGGGAAAGAAGAAAAGAAAGAGACAAAAGATTGTGATGAAGATATTAATCCACCACTGTTTGATCCCTGAGGTGGCTGTGGAGCTACAAGTATCAGATCTTGA